CAATGGTGGTAACACAGATCTTCAGCAGCTTCACCAGCAGGGGAAGTTCTACTGCTGCCTAGCCATTCCTGGTTGTGAACGTTTAGGTCACCTGCAACGATGATGTTCTGGCAGCATTGCCTAGCATCATCTATGCCAGAGCTGATGCTGTGTAGGGCAGAGATGTCTCCATCAGCGGATGAACCTGAGCGATACACAGCACACACTCCAATGGATGGGCCAGCTGCTGTCTTGAGGCGAACCCACAGGATTTCATTTCCACCAGTATCAATACATTCTAGTTCTGTGAAAGCCAGGTCGGCCCGAATCCAGACAGCAACACCGCCCCCCTGGGCGTACGGTCCCTTCGAACTGGTGGGAAGTATCCAGGGAATGTGAGGTCAGCAGGCGTGGCCTTGTCCTCCGTGACTTTTGTCTCCGTGACGATGACAATGTCTGGGTGGTGGGCATTGAGAGAAGCTTGGAACTCCCCAAGTTTTGACAAGATACCGAAAGCATTTGTCAGCATGAGGCGGAGCATTCTAGGTGGTTGCCGTGCACTTGTTGGAGCCATCATTGTGAGGATTGGTTATCCTGCTGGGGTGGCTGCGCACCACGCTGGGCAGCACGCTTCGCATCATGCGACAGCGAATCAGGTGACCGCTCGGCAGAAGAACGTTTGTGGCGGGGTTACAGGTGTGCCGGCAGCGGCAGCGGACAGGCCACGACTCGCGCTCAGGATCTAGGAAGTCATTAATTGTGGCGCCAATCCCAAGTTGCTGTTGCTCTTGATCATGCTGCTGTGCTTCCAGCTGGTTGGTGCTACTGTCGCTACTGCTGCTGTGGCGACTGCTGGTGCTGTTGCGGTGACTACTGGTGCTACTGCTGCTGCGGCGACTGCTGGTGCTGCTGCGGTGACTACTGGTGTGACACGGCGATGGTCTTTGGCGGGGCACTGGCTTGGCGAAAACGCTATCTTCTTGTGCAATATAACATTGATCGGCTGCAGATGAGTATAGTCACTTCGTGGTTGGTCCTATAGGAGGGCAGCTGCCAGGAAAGAGGCAGGACTCATCGAAGACGAAGCGCTCGCAACAAACAATAGTACTCGAAATATCTCGTAAGATTTAGGGCCTATCGCTTTGAGCCACAGCGCTCACAGCCTTGCCTACTTTATCAAAGTGAGCTCTACATGTTCGTTGACCTCTTCACACTACACAGAACGTCAGAAGAGCGAAACAAGGATTATGTCTTAGCATTTCAACTCCAACAGCAGACCATTAGTACAGGTGCGTAGCACCGCCGTTGGCGGCGGTCCGGCCAGGGGGGGGTCGGGGGGATGTCGCCCCTGATTTTTTTGAAATTAGGGTGCAAAATCCTGCATTCTGGGCACTTTTGGCATTGTTTTACTATGGTGATCGTGGTCGGGCGAAAAAGTGGTCCGGCCGGAGCAGCTGCTACGCCCCTGCATTACCAGTGCGAGAGAGAAAATTACAAAGGGCTTTGCTTTCTGTCGCATCGTCTCTCTTGCATGCAACTAACGAGAAAACCGTGTACTTACCCTCGCATTCACACGCGAACTATCAAACACGTCCTGTGCCGCATGCTGATCAGGTAGTGCCATGTATGTGCTGTACAGTGTACTCTCAGTTGACATGCCCCCTTTCGAACCCAGACAATCTTTTCGGGATTGGTCTAAAGTATTAGCTGCATTTTGATATGCATCTCATATACTGGGATCCATATATGGTCGCACGGTGCAAACCTCTAACTAAAGACCATCTACAGTAAAACCAAGAGTAGATAAACAAGAGTGTGCAACTCCGGATCTCTCCTGCACAATCTGCAGATACCCCCTCCCACGGCGGAATTTTTTGTTGACGTCACCTTTTTTCAGAGAAACGCGCAACTTGCCGCAGGGCAGTGTGAGAGCACGTGCTGGGCACCGACCTTGTAGTGTAAAGCCCGGCCAAGAGCACGAGGGAAAACTTTCCGAAAGACTCGCAGCCCGTGCGTCGTCGAAAAGATTACGTCAACAAAACATTCCGCCGTGGGCCTACCCATCCGCGAGTTGCACACTCTTGTTTATCTACTCTTGGTAAAACCTGTCTAAGGCGACCCCTCAAGGGACGAGAAAAAGTGGTTGCCGTGGCCAGGTGGTCTTCTTATCCAGGTTCAGTGGGTCACGTCGCCTTATTCACATGTGATACATCATTTTGATCAGTACATCACAGATTCACAGTGCACACACCTATGCTACTCTTAGCACGACTCATGTACCTGGAGTCCTCAGACCTGTCAAATGCTGTGCATGCACCATGTACATCTACACTTCCTGCACTGATGTGTAGATCTACCATGCCTGGTGCACCATGCAATGCATACATTTACATGACTAGCACTGTGCAACGCGGTCGTGGGTGGGTGGTCGCCGGTCGCGTTGAGCGAGTGGTCGCCTTATCCAAGGTGTTTTGAATGTGAATGCGTCCATGACAAGGAAAAGTGGTCGAGTGGTCGCCAT